CGTAGAAGTAGAAGTAGTACCAGTAGGACCAGTTGTAGTACTGGTAGTAGTATGGGCGCTGCCTTCTCCTAGTGTGACTCGTTCGGGCTCCTCGTGTTCTGAGTCGTTCGAGACCCGCGTCGTGGTGTGAGTCGTTCGGGCTCCTCGTGGTGTGAGTCCGTCGGGCGCCTCGTCCTGGTATGAGTCGTTCGGGCCCCTCCTTGTGGTGTGAGTCGTTCGGGCTCTTCGTGGCGTGAGTCGTTCGGGCCCCTCGTCCTGGTGTGAGTCGTTCGGGCTCCTCGTGGGGCCTCTTGGGGGCTGCTTGGGGGCCTCTTGGGGGCCTCTTGGGGGCCTCTTGGGGACCTCTTGGGGGTATCTTTGGGGCCTCATGGAGGCGTCGTGGTGCCTCCTGGGGACCTCTTGTGGGCCACCTGGGGACCTCTTGGGGCCACATGGTGGACCTCTGGGGGCGTGCTGGGGAGGCTTGTATGAGCGCTGCCCCTCCTCCTGGTGTGACTCGTTCGGGCTCCTCGTAGTGTGAGTCGTTCGAGGCCAGCGACGTGGCGTGAGTCGTTCGGGCTCCTCGTGGGGTGACTGGGTCGGGCGCCTCGTCCTGGTGTGAGTCGTTCGAGGCCCGCGTCGTGGTGTGAGTCGTTCGGGCTCCTCGTGGTGTGAATGGGTCGGGCGCCTCGTCCTGGCATGAGTCGTTCGGGCTCCTCCTTGTGGTGTGAGTCGTTCGGGCTCTTCGTGGTGTGAGTCGTTCGGGCCCCTCGTCCTGGTGTGAGTAGTTCGGGTCCCCCCTCCTGGACAGAGTCGTTTGGGCCCCTCCCTCCTTGTGTGAGTCGTTCGGCGAGGGGCCCGAACGACTCACACAAGGAAGAGCCCGAACGACTCAGACCAGGGCGAGGGGCCCCAACGACGCACACCACATGCATTCTGGTCCAGGACGTCGCCGTCGTATGAGTCGACAGAGTCGGTTACGTGTAGGACTGGTGAACGACCGCCGTTCGTCTTGCCTCCCATCGCCTTCTCTCCCTCCTCCTCTTCCTCCTCTTCGGCTCCTAGTCGCAGTAGTAGAAGTAGTACCAGTAGGATCAGTTGTAGTACGGGTAGTGGTAGTAGCAGTAGCAGTAGCAGTAGTAGTAGTAGTTAGTGGTAGTGGTAGTAGTAGTAGTAGTAGTAGTAGTAGTAGTAGTAGTAGTAGTAGTAGTAGTAGTAGTAGTAGTAGTAGTAGTAGTAGTAGTAGTTTAGTAGTAATATAGTGTCGTAGTCGTAGTCGTAGGTCGTAGTTCGTAGTCGTAAGCGTAGTCGTAGTAGTAGTACGTATTAGTAGTAGTTAGTCGTTCGTTCTTTCGTTAGGTAGTTAGTAGTACGTAGTAGGTAGTAGTCGTGGAGAGTCAGTAGTAGTAGTAGTAGTAGTAGTCGTAGTCGTAGTAGTCGTCGTAGTCGTAGAGCGTAGTTCGTAGTAGTAGTAGTAGTAGTTAGTAGTAGTAGTAGTAGTAGTAGTAGTTAGATAGTAGTAGTAGAGTAGTAGTAGTAGTAGTAGGAGTAGTAGTAGGAGTAGGAGTAGTAGGAGGAGGAGGAGGAGGAGGAGGAGGAGAAGGAGGGAGTAGGAGTAGGAGTCGTAGTAGTAGTAGTGGGAGTGAGGAGGCAGTAGTAGTGTATAGTAGTTAGAGTAGTTAGTAGTAGAGTCGTAGTGATTTAGTAGTAGTAGTAGTAGTAGTAGTAGTAGTAGTAGTCGTAGTAGTAGCAGTAGTAGCCGTAGTCGTAGTCGTAGTCGTAGTAGTCGTTAGTAGTAGTAGTAGTAGTAGTAGTAGTAGTAGTAGTAGTAGTAGTAGTAGTAGTAGTAGTAGTAGTAGTAGTAGTAGTAGTAGTAGTAGGTAGGAGGTAGTAGTAGTAGTAGTAGTAGTAGTAGTAGTAGTAGTAGTAGTAGTAGTAGTAGTAGTAGTAGTACTGGTGTGACTCGTTCGGGCTCCTCGTGGTGTGAGTCGTTCGAGGCGCGCGTCGTGGTGTGAGTCGTTCGGGCTCCTCGTGGTGTGCATGGGTCGGGCGCCTCGTCCTTGTAGGTGTCGTTCGGGGTCCTCCTTCTGGCGTGAGTCGTTCGGGTTCTTCGTGGTATGAGTCGTTCGGGCCCCTCGACCTGGTGTGAGTCGTTCGGGCTCCTCGTGGGGCCTCTTGGCGGCCTCTTGGAGCCTCTTGGGGCCTCTTGGGGGCCTCTTGGGGGCCTCTTCGGGGCCTCTTCGGGGCCTCTTGGCGGCCTCTGGGGGCCTCTTGGGGGCCTCTATGGGGTCTCTTGGGGGCCTCTTGGGGCCTCTTGGGGGGCCTCTTGGGGGCCTCTTGGAGGCCTCTTGGGATGTTCCTGGGGGCCTCTTGGGGCCATCTTGGCGCCTCTTGCGACCTCCTCAGAAGCGCAAAGAAGCGCTGCCCCCTGAAAAGGACAAAATGAGCCCAAAACCCTTGTAACATCAATGATTTGGCGATGAAGGAAGATGAGCGCGGCCCCCTCGGGAGGCCAAAATGGGGCCAAAACCATCGTAAAAACAATGACTTTGGCTTAACAGAAGAGGAGGGGGCTACAAGAGCGTCCCCCCGTCGGAGCCAGAATCCTCGTGAGGGTCGTCGTTTTTTGGCCCTCCCAGGCGTCGAAAAAGACCACTCTGACGACCCGCGGGGTGCGCTCTCCAGGTCCAGGGGGAGGGGGGAGGGGGAGGGGTAAACCCCTCCCCGAAGGGGAAGAAGGGGGGTTGGGGGGTTGAGAACAGAGAAAGCTCGCTAAACCACTCACGCCCAAAGGGCTGGTGGGACTCCGAGCTTTCGGCCACACAGGCTCCCAGAGGCCCCAAGAGGTCCCCAGGAGGCCCCAAGAGGCCCCCCAGAGGCCCCAAGAGGCCCCCAAGAGACCCCCAAGAGGCTCCCAAGAGGCACCCCAATAGAGCCCCAAATAAGCAAACATCGTCGATTTCCGATTGGAAAACGTATATTTGTGGCGTGTTCGTCTTTTGGGCTTTTTTTTTTTCTTTTCTTTTTCTATTTTTTTCTTTTTTTTTTTTTTCTTGTTTTTTTTTTTTTTTTTTGTTTTTTTTTCTATTTTTATTTTGTTCTTTTCCGTTTTTGTTTTTGTTTTTTTATTTTTTTTTTTTTTTTTTTCCACTCTTTTTTTATTTCTTCTCTGTTCTGGTCTGTGCGTCCAAGACAGCCCAAGAGGCACCCAAGACGGTCGAGGATGCCCCCAAGAGGGCCCCAAGACGGCCCACGAGGGGGCCAAGACGGCCCACGAGACGCCTAAACCTATCAGCAACGCCCCAAGTCGGCGCCCGAGACGGAGAAAGTGCGAGCCATTTGGCCCAAGAGGTCCCCAGGAGACCTCAAGAGGCTCCAAGAAGCGCCCAAGAAGCCCCAAGAGGTCCCCAAGAGACCCACACGAACACCAAAAGAGGCCCCGCACGCGCCCCAAGGGGCACCCCAGTAGAGCCCCAATAAGCAAAACATGCGGATTTCTCATGGGGAAACTATTATTTTAGGCGTGTTCGTCTTTGGGGTAGGGGGTCCCTGGCCCCCCAAAGTGCACCGATTTGTTTTCCGGCCGTTTCGGGCCTGGCGGGGGGCGCCAAGAAACGTCAAAGGGGCCGAGAGACGTCCAAGAGCGCGCCAAGATGGCCCAAGAGCGCTCCAAGAGAGCCCAAGACTGCACAAGAGCGTTTCATAATTGGTCCACCATGGTTTGAAGACAGCTCACGAGGGTTGCAAGACGGCCAAGATGCCCTCAAAAGGATTCCCACGAGACATTCAGGAGGCTAACAAGTAGATTGTTCGTTGGATTGTGAAGGTTTTTCGTGTTCTCGCTGTTTCGTGCTTCTGACTGTCCAAGACAGCCCACGGACGGTCCAGGAGGCACCCAAAGAGGGCGTCACGACGGCGCAAGAGAGTCCCACGACGGCCTAAGAGTGCCCCAAGACGGTCCAAGAGGGCTTCAAGACGGCCCCAAGAGGGACCCAAGAGGGGGAACACGAATCGACAATTCGAGCCTTCCGCCCTACGAGGCCTCCAGGAGGCCCCAAGAGGACCGCAACAGAGCCCAAGAGGCCCCCTGGAGGCCCCCCAGAGGCCCCACGAGGCCCAATAGGGCCCCAAAGATGCCTCACGAGCACCCCAAACGGCCCCAAAGAGGCTTTCGAAACTGCCCTCAAGAGGCCCCCGGGAAGCCTCCCACGGATTCCAAACGAACTTCCAAGAGTCTTCTAACCCACAACCCAGGCACAGTGGCGGGATGGGCAGAATGTCATTATCGGGAACGCGAACCGAGAACCCGAGATCTTCGCCCCAGGAGACCCCCAGGAGGGGTGAAGAGGTCCCAAGAAGCTCGGCGACAGATCACCGGCCGATGGGAGCGTAGGAGGAGGAATGAGGACGAGGCAGGAGGAAACACATATTGTTGACCTCGTGATTCATGACGGCCTTGTTGTCTCAATGCGGTCAGCACTCGACCAGCTAGAATCTGAGAACGCGCGAACCGCGCGCGATGGTTCTAGTATTCATACATGTGTTTACAAGCGTCCTGTACATGCGTGTATGAGACATCAGGTCGAAGTGCAATCGTCGCAAAGGTCAACGAATGATCATGTAATGTTGGGGGTGGTCGACAGGGCAGTCGGGTTGGTCAAAACATCGGGGCAGTCCCCGAAATGTCTCGCTTTTCTTCTCTGGCTAATTCAAGCAGGTTACGTTGAGTTGTTTTGCTAGCCCTCTGCAGGCATTGGGATGAATGGGTCTATATATATATATATATATATATATATATATATATATATGTGTGTGTGCGTACATGCATTATGGTCCTATCCAAGTTCAGCGAGGGCCGCTGGACAATCGCTTTTCGCCTTCTCATAGCGTGTTTTTTGCCGCCCGTTCGTCTCACATCGAGGAGCTTGCGGTCCCAGTTCGCAGGTCGGGAGAAGACGTCGGATGAAGCGAGCAGTGGAATAAGCTAGCACGTTGCAAACAAAGAGCCAATCGCATCTAAGGTTTATTCGGGGGCCGATCACGAAGACCATCTGGTGTTCGTGCCAGATCCTCACGTACGCCCTGCGGCCGATGTTCATCAAGCCGCAGGAGCTCACGATGATGCACGCACGAGGCTCAGCCGATATCGGACCTGCCCATCGCTGCCTCTTTGAATCCCTGACTCCATGTACGTACGCGATTTCGCTGACCCGCTGCAGATCCCAGGTGGAGGAGGTTTTGAGGAGGAGAAGGAGGAGGAGGAGGAGGAGGAGGTCGGGGAGTTAAGAGAAAGGGCGCATTGGAGGAGGAGGAGGATGAGGAGGAGGAGGAGGAGGAGAGGAAAAGAAGGGAGGGAGGAGGAGTGGGACGAGGACGAGGTCGGAGGAGGAGTGGCGAGTTTCCGAAAGGAGGAGGGGGAGGAGGAGGAGGAGGATAAGAGGGGGGGAGGGGACGAGGGAGGAGGGAGAAGGAGTAGCAAAAAGAGGACTGCGCGGCGGACGCGAGCCGTGCTCCGGGCCGTGCGACTGGCCGAGGTGCTGAACTGGGCCGTGCAGATCGCTTTCGACGCCGCCGTCTTCCACTTCTGGGGCCCGGGATCGGGTCAGAAGCGGAGCAATCCTCTTCGTCCTCCGTGCTTCACGTCCTCCCTCTCCCTCCCTCCTGCCGCACTCCTCCATCCTCCCTCCTTGCGCGTGCTCTTCTTCTCCACCCGTCTTGCATTCTTGTGTTCCTTTCCCGCGGCGCGTGAAGACGCGCACGTAGGTGTCATCCCCCTTCTTCCTCGTCCTCCTCATCCTTCTTCCTTCTCTTTTTCCTTTTTCTCCTCCCCCTCCTATTCCTCCACCTCCACCCTCCCCCTTGTTTTCAGACTCCTCCTCATCACCATCAGCATCATCATCCTCATGTGCATCTGCATCATCGTAGTCACACCCTCCTCGAGACGTCGTCTGCCATCGGCAGCACGGTTCTCATCGTCACCATCAGCATCAGCATCATCATCACCATCCTCATCATCATCATCAGCATATACAGCGACTTGTCGGCATTTGTGGACTAACCGTGGCCGTAATGCCTTTGCTCAAGTCCTTGAGGGTATGCAGACCAAGCTCGAACTCCCCGCACAGGACCTCAGCAGTGCCGTCACTACTGCGATCATTGGTATCGACCCCGTGCCCAGATTGCGTGTGCTCTCCCGCGTTCCCCTGCCCTGCGCTGGAGTGCCACTGGCCAAGCGGCGAGGGCCAGCTCACGCCGAGCTCGCGCACGGGCTGGTCGACGGAGTTCCTGGTGGTGCTGGTGTTGCTAGCGTGCTCCTACGGCGTCTTCATTGGCGGGCTCTACTTCAGCAAGACGCCGACTTCGGCCACCCAGGAGCCTGGGGCGCAAGGCGCGCCGAGCCCGCCCACGGCGGAAGCGCCCATCACCACCGTCGACCTTGCGTCGGCAACGCCGCCCAGGCTCGTAGTTTCCGCCGCTGAGAGTCATCATGGCGACGCCTCTGCCTGGCCAGCTCCACCTTGTCCGACATAACATCGGTGGACCTGCCATCTACCATGAAATATTGACCCTACTGCCTGGCTACATATTAACTCCAGATGGCGACGACGACCCTGATAACGGCGTCGCAGGCGGAAACCTCCGCTCGGTGCACCCTCTCGTGGGGCAAGGAGAAGGGGTTCCTGGAGTTCCTGCGAACCACCTCTACCAGTTTCGGCAGCTCCCCTGCGCAGCAGATGCATGGGCAGCTCTTCGACGAGGAGTCGCCCAGGGGCATGGCTCCCTTCCCGTCGCGCCCCCAACGTCCTGGGCGCGGCGGCAGGGGCTCTTGCCTTGCCCGACCCGCTGGCACCAGCTGCCGCCCCCGCCGCGCTGGCCGCGCCGCCCGCCGGCCTTGGCGCGCTAGCCGCCGCGTTCGGAGGCGGAGCTCCTGCGCCCGCGGCGGCCGCGGCGGCCCCCGCGGGCGCCGGCGGGGCCCTCCCCCCCCCGCGGCGGCGGCAGCGGTCGGCGACTCCCGCGCGATGGCCCTCGTGCTCGACGGGCGGGGCCTGCGCGACTTGAGCTTCGGCGACGCGCTCAAGCTCCAGACCGAGGCGGCCCGTGCCGACCGGCCCGTGAACGGGCCCAGGACCTTGCCCTGGGTCCTCGGCTTCATAGAGCGCATGGCTGGCGAGGCAATGGCACGGCACACCCGCTGGTTGGCGATGATGCAGCTCGGCGGGCACAACGAGAACGTCGAGCTCCACGAGACGCTGCCCGCGCGATCGAGACCGCGCTGTGCCACGATCAGATCGTGATCTGCGAGCTCGCCCCCTTCGAGCACCTGGCCCGCCAGCTCTAACTGGTCGAGGGGCGGGCCTTCGAGGAGCGCGCGCGGAGAACGCAGCCAGCGCCCGCGGCGAAGGCGCAGGCGAAGGAGGCCAGCCCGACCGACTTCGCCTCGGAGGTCGGGCACTTCCTCGGCACTGGCGAAACGACGGGCAACCCGTGCATCAGCCTTGCCCCGATGGACTGGATAGCGGATCAGATGAAGAACGAGGCAGCAAGCAGTGGCGATGGAACGACGCAAGGTTCGCGAGCAGCGATCCTTGCGGGCGCCATGACGCACCGGGAGGACGCTGGCCAGGATGGGCCTCGCGAGCGCGCCGCCCTTGCCCGAGAGCCTGGTCAGCTACGCCCAGAGCCCCGCCAGGGCCCCGCCTGGTCCGGGGTCGCCCAGGCGCGGCGACCATCGCCAGCGCGACGCTTTTCCTCTGCCCCTTCTTCCTGTGGATGGGCGTCGTCACCAGCCCTTGGAAGAGCGGCTCGTCTGCGTGCCGCCAAAGGCGCGGGCTGGAGGGAGTGGTGCAACGAGGGGTCGTCCGCTCTCAACTAGCCCCACCGCGGCAAGGGCGAGCTGAGCGAGCCCAGGGGCACCGCGCACGCGCCCTCGGTGCAGGCAGCCTCTGTGGAGTACCTTGCGGGCCAGCACCGCGAGTTCGAGCTGCCCGCCGCCTACTCGGAGAGGGGCGACGCCTGCGAAGCATCCCTCGTAGAGATGATCGCTCTGGCACCTGGCAGAGCTGGCGACAGCGGCTGGGCGCGCCCCAACAGCAAGCCACTTGCGGCCTGGCCCGCGTCGACGAAGGCAGTCTCCAACTCCGACGTCGTCGCCGAGGCCGGCCCCGTCGCGCTGCAGGGTTGGAGGCACAGTGCGCTGAATCCCGAGTCGGTCGCGGCGGAGCTTCGCGAGTCGCCGGGAGTGCCGCGCCCCCACGTGGACCCCGAGCTTCGCTATCGGCCGAAGTCGCGCCCCCAGCTTCCGAAGAAGATGGAGGCCCACGACGCGATCTCACGGCGGGCCTCCAGCCCCCAGGCCCCCTTTTACACCCAGAGTGTTCTGCGTGGAGAAGTCCACCCACATGCCCCGGCTCGCGCGCTCGACACTCGGCTGGCCAACTGCAGCTTTGCGGCGCCGCCGGCCACGAGGCCCCCCCGCGCCCAGCGCGCGGGCCAGCGTCGACTGAGTCGACTGCGACGCCAGTTTTGCGTTCGCCCAGGGCGCCATCCAGCGCGCTTTCTATCGTCGACGCTTGCCTGCAGGGATGGAGCCGCTGTTCTCGCTGCCCGCGATCTCCAATGGATACATCTGTTTCAAGTGCATCAGCGGAGCCCCCATCGGCATCGGCGACTTCGCCCGGCCGTTGGTCGCTGTGACCCCCACGGGGTGGAGCTGGACTCTTCATGTCTGTGAGAGTGCCTTAACTAGAGCTCTCTCCGACGCTGGATTCCAGGGCGGCGAGATGATCCTGGGCGGTGGCAGCCCTCACCCATTGGTCTCCCCGCTAGACGCGTCGCGCGCAGGATGTCGATAACTTCTGCGCTGTGTCTAGGAGCCCGGATATAGCCGCGCCCCGCGCCCGCGCCGTCGCCGACCTTATCACTGCTCGCGGTCTGTCCGTCCTGGACTTCTCGCTTGCCGTCAGCTGGGGGGTCTGCGCAGGTCTACAGATCGGGCTGTCTGGGCTTATTCCCGCGCGTCTTGATCGGCCCGCCCGCGCCCGCCAAGCTGTTCTTGGGCTTCTTCGACGTGGGCGGGCCTCTAGGGGCGGCCCTCGCTGTGCTGGTCGGTCACTCCGCGTGGAAGGTGATCTTGAGACGTCGTGGCGTTCTGGCCATCTTCGATGCCGTCTATCGGTTCATCGGCGGCGTCGCGGGGCCTCATCCTGGGCCTCCCCCGGGAGTCAGTAGTCAGAAGGGTGAGGGCCGCGGTGGCCCTGATCCCGCTTTGGCGTGCCTCTACCAGGTCTCGGCGGCACTCACTCACGGGCCGACGCTTCTGGCGCTTCACCGTTCGGGAAGGGGGCGCGCATCAAGGACGTTCCCCCTGAGCTAGCTTCGGAGGTCGGCCGAGTCGCTGAGAAGCGGAGGCACCACCAGGGGCCAGCGTGTTCGCCAGGCCCCATGCCTTCGACGCGGCTGGCCCCCATCGCGACGCCGCTGATGCTCGTCATCACGCCACGCCACCGCTGTCTATTCCATCATCGTCGACGGACTGCTTTGGCTGGCTTGATTTAGAGCGGATTTCGGTTGAGTCGGGTGAGTGTTTTTGTGTTTTGATGCCGACGACGATTGCAATGATGGTGGTTATCATATCGTAGTGCTGATGGTGGTGGCGATGGTGATGGTGATGATGGCGGTGCTCATCACATCCAGAATCACCATCATCACCATCACCATCATCACCATCACAACCGCCCTCTCCATACCATCATCACCATCCCCATCATCATCAGCATCATCATCATCATCAGCACCCATACCATCAGCATCGCCATCACCATCACCATCGTCACCATTGTGGTCCGTAGGACTTGGCTTAAAATAATGTCGTCGTCCGCTGGGGCGGTTTCCCCGAGCCCTCCAGCCTCGTCGCCCTCTCCTTCTTCGAGGGCAGCTTCGCCGAGCCCTGCTTCTTCTTCGAGGGCAGCTTCGCCGAGCCCTGCTTCTTCTTCAAGGGCAGCTTCGCCGAGCCCGGCTTCTTCTTCAAGGGCAGCTTCGCCGAGCCCGGCTTCTTATTCGAGGGCAGCTTCGCCGAGCCCGAGCCCGAGCCCTGCGGCCTCGTCGAGGGCAGCTTCGCCAAGCCGTGGCAGCTGCAACAGCTCGGACGCCGATGCTGACGCAGGGTCCGACGCCGACGGCGCCGACGGAGTTGCCGACGCAGCGGGCTCCGAAGAGGACAGCGGCTCCAACAGCGGCACCGACAGCGGCTCCGAAGAGGACAGCGGCTCCAGCAGCGAGGCAGCCGCGGCTGCAAGAGCGAAGGCGAAGGCCACCCCGAGCAAAGTAGTCGATGAGAAGTTCCCGCCTTCGTTGTCCATGACCCTGGAGGAGCACGTCGCCAGCCACGACTACCCAAAGCACGTCTCCACCTGCGGCGCTTGCAAATTTTGGAAGAACAAGGAGAAGTGGAGCGCCTCGATGTCTGCGACGAATCCAGTAATACTGAAGAGTGAAACTTGGATAGGCTGCGTTGGTGGTAGATTTGCAGTCTGCTTGTTCTGCTCGGCGTTCAAGGGCGCTCGCTGCCATTCCACCATAGGCCAGGGATC